AAGGAAGCTCAAGAACGACAAAAGATAAACGCAGATCTATATCGTAAGGAGCAACCACAACTCAACGTGGGTGATAAGGTATGGCTACTTCGTCGCAATATCAAGACTACTCAACCTTGTGACAAGTTGGACTATCGTAGGCTTGGCCCCTTTTCTGTTTCTGAACAGATCAACCCAGTTGCATATCGGTTACATCTACCAGAGTCAATGAAGATCCATCCTATATTCCACGTATCTCTTCTTGAACCATATAAGACAGTGGATATACAAGGAAGAAGACAAATGCCACCGCTTCCTATAGAAGTAGATAATAATGAAGAATTTGAGGTGGAAGAGATATTAGACTCAAGGCGGCGTCGAAATAAGTTGGAATATCTTGTTCATTGGCGCGGATATGATATTAGTGAACGCACATGGGAGCCACCCATGAATCTAGCAAATGCATCAACTAAAGTCAAAGTTTTTCATCAACGACATCCATCAAAACCAAGATGAAAATCTCTCTTATAAAAGAGACAAGATTGAGGCAAGATAACATTCAATTTCCTATCCTTGTTTATATCTTCTTTGCATTTGTGACGCTAATTAGATGGAGAGCCAACAACCAGCGGATTCAACTGAAGAACCTTCGTTTGTTGACCTGCCGAACGAGACATTACGATTGTCACAACCTTCAAGACGACGCAATCGAGATGAAGATCTTCAAGAACGACATGTTCTTCCTCGAATAGATGGTGAGATACAACGCGTTTGGTATCACGATTTGGGAAGGGACTCTCGATGTTTGGTGATTTTACTAGAGGTAGGAACAACTCTTGATGGTGTTCCGAATATTCTATTCGAAGGAAGTTACGAAGGCCTCAACAATGATCAAATAACTGGGTGGTCTTCCCACCCTGGTATGGGACACTACCGATGGTTGAGAGGCCCTATTAATCATCTTCGAAGAGAACAGAGATCAGAGTATGTGGCGAATACAATTCGTCACATCATAGATTTCCTCAACATATGATGACCGCTCCTCGTGGAACTCGTCTCTAGACGGGGGGGTAATGTCACGGCCATAATCATGTAAGCTAATAATTACATATAGAAATAGGTAGAAGTAAAAGTAGATAAAAGTAAGTTAATTCTATAATATTTAATATAAAAGCTTCCTAGAAACTTCCTAGACGCTGCTTTGACTTCATAGGTGTCTTTAATTGACTTTTTGGATTAGAAACGTGGTGAACAAGTTGGCCATGTACCACACATGTTGTTAGCTTGAAGATCAAGCTAACTATGTGGCCCACACGTAGAAAAACTTGCCTTGTAAGTCAAGGCATGTGTCCTACAAAGTCAACACATATTGGAGGTCCTATAGAACGTCGCCACATAGCCCCTAGTTAGATAGTATATATAGAGGCAAGAGTGAAGCTCTCTTCACTCTTGTCAACTCCTTTCTTGCTTCTAAGTCTAGTTTCAAGGGTCTCTAGTTTTCTTGTCTTTTGGCAATAGCCATTCTAGTTTCTCTTTTCAATATACATACTTATTATTCATATTTTGTTACTTTTCTTTGAGTGAAGGCTTACTTGTCTGAACTATTTTTTCATCGAGTTCTTGTCCTTGACATAGTGGACATACCAAGAAGAAGACAAGCTCCACCTCCTCCTATAGAAGTGGACAATAATGAAGAATTTGAAGTGGAAGAAGTCTTAGATTCAAGGCGGCGCCTAAATAAATTAGAATATCTTGTCCATTGGCATGGATATGATATTAGTGAACGCATATGGGAGCTAGTAAAGAATCTTGCAAATGCAACAAAGGCAGTGGAGGCTTTTCAATGACGACATCCATCAAAATCAAGATGAAAATCTTCTTTATAAAAGAAACAAGATCTAGACAAGATATTATGATTGTCTCAACTTTCAAGACGATGCAATCAAGATAAAGATCTTCAAGAATGACATGTTCTTCCTCGAATAGATGGCGAAATACAACACGTTTGGTATCATGACTTTGGAAGGGACTCTCGATATTTGGTGATTTACTACAGGTAGAAATAACTCCTGATGGTGTTCCAAATGTTTTATTCGAAGGAAGTTATAAAGGCCTCAATAATGATCAAATAACTAGGTGGTCTTCCCGCCCTAATATGGGACACTACTGATGGTTGAGAGGCCCTATCAATCATCTTTGAAGAGAACAAAGATCAGAGTATGTGGCGAATACAATTCGTCTCATCATAGATTTTCTCAACATATGATTACCGCTCCTTGTGGAACTCGTTCCTAGAAGGAGAGGTAATGTCACGAACATACACATGTAAGCCAGTAATTACATGTATAAATACGTAGAAGTAAGTAAAAGTAAGTAAAAATAAGTTAATTCTATAGTATTTGATATGGAAGCTTCCTAGAAGCTTTATAGACACTGCTTTGACCTTATAGGTATCTTTAATTGACTTTTTGGATTAGAAACGTGGTCAACAAGTTGGCCATGTGCCACACATGTTGTTAGCTTGAAGACCAAGGTAACTATGTGGCCCACACATAGAAAAACTTACCTTGTAAGTCAAGGCATGTGTCCTACAAAGTCAACACATATTGGAGGTCCTATAGAACGTCGCCACATAGCTCCTAGTTAGATAGTATATATAGAGACAAGAGTGAAGCTTCCTTCACTCTTGTCAACTTCTTTCTTGCTTCTACTCTAGTTTCAAGGGTCTTTAATTTTTTTGGCTTTTGGCAATAGCCATTCCAATTTCTTTCTTTATATATATATATATATATATATATATATATATATATATATATATCAAGTTATTTCTATTTTGTCATCTTTCTATGAGAGAAGTCTCACTTGTTTATTTGTCTTTATCATGTTCTTGTCCTTGACAATTGTTGCTTAAACTTTTGAATCAAGCAATTTGAAAATCTTCGGGGATTTGCAATGCTTAAAAGCATAGAAAATTTTCTTCTTTTTTCTTGTATTAATCCATCAATGAATACAACATCCCAATGTTGGTATTGCAAAATCTAATTAGCCAACACTTTTTCTAAATGAAGATGCATTGGAAGTTATTGGCACTTTGCAAAGAGTCCAAATAAGTTGAGGCTCTCATACTTTTGGTGCTTATTGAAAATTGAGCTAATGATATTGTACTATGGCAGTTTTTTGGAAATTGAAATCATGTGCTGCTCATGTTACAAGTTCTTTGTGGTTCACAAATGAGTTTTTTTGCCTTTTTCTTACAAATTGCAAGCCTTTGCGCATTGATAAGTATTTGAAATTGCTCTACTTTGTTTGCTGAATAAGTATGTTACTTTGTAACTCCATAGAATTTTGTTTGTAAAAGTTGGGAAAGACCTTGGGAAGCAACTTCTATATTTTTTAAAACATAAAATCTCCCTTTATATTTTCATTATATTAATCAATCACAATCCATCACTCTATAACTCAATACCCTCCAATATTAGATATATTTTGGCATCCACCAATTATGTTAGTTAACGGAGAGTCAACTGTATGTATGTATATATATATATATATCAATTTTTTTCTTTTTTTACATGATATAAAATATATTATTGTACACATATAATTGAGATATAATTATATTTTATTTATATTTTTAATTATTTATTATTTTAGGCATATACATAAGTTAAAATAATTATTTATTAAAAAAATATATAAATATTATTAATAATAATATTGTGACTATTTTTTTAACTAATTCAATCTATTTCCAAGACTATAGACATGAATAGATTATATGATGTTGCAATGTTTTTAATGCATGATCTTGTTCAAGTAGATCCAAGCTCAACATATAGACTTGTATAGGTGGAATTTACAAATTAACATAACTTTGTGCATTTGAATCATAAACTGTCTTTAAAACAATAAGTATGACTTGACATTGATAAAGTTTGATTCGTACTTCTTGTTTGTAAGATTTTGTAGATCTATACAAAAAATAATGTTGAAGAATTGTGGCATCTCTATGGAAAAGACATGGAAATTAATAGATGGTACTCACACTAGACTGTAACTCTAAAAAAAACATCTCATTTGATGGTGCTGACAAAAATTGTAGGTTGCTAATAGTTGGATTGTCATTGGACGATAGAATTGCTTGATTCCTCTAAACATAGAAGATTTTGGATATACTAGGAGAGCTTAGATTTTTCTTATTAAATTGATGTAGATTGATACAAAAAAAAATCTATCAATATTTACATAATTAATGAATCTGTCCAATTAATACTGAACATACCTGGAAGTAGCGTGGGAACTTTGAACCAAGTATGTAGACATATGTGTATCGATATACTAGCTCTTCGAGGACCTGTTTGAAGAGGCCCAAGGTATAAACAGGTTCTTATTTGTTGATTCAATATGTTAGAGGGGTAAGGAAAAGTTTGTTAAGAATAGTCTCCAAAAATAAACAAGAGGTTCTCAAACTAATATCAGAAATCGAACGTTTTATCATACAAATCATTTTGAAGTCTTCATTGTTTAACTTCAGTGACTCTGTAACCATGGGACAGACTTGGCAAAACTCATGATCAATTACAAAATTCCAAATCTACATCCGAATCATGATTTTGCAATCGCAATGATTAAGGTTTGTAAGCCGAGATCTTGTTGTCGTAATCAAATGTCATGAAACTACAGTTGATTAGCTCACTTGGTATAGCACCATTGAGGCATGCACCTTTCGTCCAAGACTTCAGGAAACATCCGGGACAATACTGCTATTTCAGCATTATCTGTTTACAGGTAAACCTGAAATAATGGAGGGTGCGTTATCGGCGTCATCCACGAGCAAGTTAACATCTAAGTAGCGAAAAAATTAGGTCAAAACGAAAGCATTGTGCCATACATACAGCTGTTCTCTTTCACATTCCATTGACCTAATTCAAAATGCTCATGAAAGTCAAGCGTCTGCTACAAAAACATGGAAGCAGACAGTAAGCTAGGGATGAAGCGCACATCTGCAAATGCACAATCCGTTCATGACCAATGAAATGCGACATCTGCAATATGGAATCAATGAGACACAAATTTGAGAAGCGTTATGAATTTTGCATTCCTTTCTTCACTACTCTTCCAATTCCAAAACGCTAAAAGTGTATCCATTCATCCTCATCCGTAGGAACCCGGTTTCAGATTTGTGAACATCTGGTGTGCAGTTCACGAATTCATAGACGAAGGGGGCAAAATCTAAGCCCGTCCAACAGCCCACACTCTAATGTGACCATCGGTGTAGCCGCTGAACAGGGTGCTGCCGTCGGCACTCCAGTTCAGACTCACACAGTAGGGAATCTGGGCCTTCTTGCTGACGAAGGTGAACTCGGGGCGCAGCTCGTCGACGACGCTCTTGCTCTCCAAGTCCCAGATCTTGATACAGGTCTGAGTGGCAGCACACAGCCAGTACCTGTTGGGGCTGAAACATAGGGAGTGGATGATGTCGCCAGCATCCAAAGAGTACAACCTCTTGCCCTCGGCCAAGTCCCACAACATGGCAACTCCGTCCTTGCCACCGCTAGCGCACAAGGAACCATCAGGAGACACAGTAACAGTATTAACGTATCCGGTGTGTCCAACCAAGTTAGTACGAATCTTGCAGTTGGTCAGGTTCCACACCTTCACGACCTTGTCCCACCCTCCAGACACGATAATAGGGTTGGCCGTCACAGGGGAGAAACGCACACAACTGACCCAGCCAGTGTGGGCGTCTACGTCCTGGATGGTATACTTGCACTCACCGAGAGTGTTCCACAACTTGATAGTTTTGTCACGGGAGCCAGACACAATCTGCCTGTTATCAACAGAGAAAGCCACACTGAGCACATCCTTGGTGTGGCCAATGAACCGCCGGGTGGTGGTTCCGGTGTTCAAGTCCCACAAGCGGAGGGTTCCGTCCCATGATCCAGACAAAGCAAACTGTCCGTCAGAGGAAATCACGACATCTTGAACGAAGTGAGCGTGGCCAGTCAAACGGCGGCGGGCGACACCGTAGTTGCCCTCCTCGCGAGAGAGGTGCCAGACGATGATACTCTTGTCACGAGACGACGAAAGGATGAGGTCGGGGTTGTCGAGCGGGCAGGCGATGGCCGTCACCCAATTGGCGTGACCCTTCAACGTCCCGCGAAGTACCAAAGTTTCTGCCATTTTGTCAAAGAAAAGTAAACCCTAAGGACGGAGTAGAAGAGAGTGATGAAGCAGGAGAACGCAAACAAAGACGAAGGCTGGAAAGCCAAGAGCTGAGGCAGGCGGCGCTGCTCACAGACTTCCAAAGAGAGACCCATCTCGGAGACGTGATGGGGTTTGTAGCCCCACACGGCCGACCTGCAAGCCCTAACGGAGACCCTCCATTTCACACCTACACCACACGACGTTTTCTTCTTTAGGGTGTACGTCGAAAACTACGTATCTAATGGCGTAACCGTATTCTTGTTACTGTTGTATCGTCATCCAATTGTTCTATTCATGTATTACGTTCGTTCACTCATATAGTCATCATTGGTAACATTGACGAAATCACTCTGTGAACACCCGACTATCTGTCCGTCCGTGTGTATGTTTGTATGTAGGTATATACGTCTGTGTGTGTTTATAAAAAAGTTCGTGTATATTTATGTATTTCGATTTATATATCACTTTTTCCTGTCTTTTCTTTTTTCACAGAGTTGGTGTGACTGACATACTTCATTGATGTTAGATATGCAAAATAATAGTTGGCTGCAAATAAAAATGATAATTGTAAACAGAACGTTTGATTTTTTAAAACTTCTTGCAGTATTCAGAAATTTTTATTTTTGTTTTTTATAATGTGTTTGACGATATTGTAGTTTGAAAGAAAAAAAATGGTGTTTGTGCCTATTGAAAATAAGAACCAAGAAAAGGGTTAAATCTGGAATGTTTTAGGTGAAATCCAAATCATTCAATATTTTTCGGAAATTTATGAAACTTTACTTTTACAATACTCGATTTTTAAAAGCATTTATTATTAGTTTAAACTATAAGAAGTTCAACTTGATTTGTTTCTTGAAGTCTAGCACTTAAAAAAATTATTAAAATTTTGAAAAACAAAATGTACCTTACAATCATAAGAGTTACAACATACTAATTAAACATATGTTGTGTCATGCACAAGCATCGTTGCTTGGTGTTAATGTAGGGTATATCCATTTTTATTTTTATTTTTATTTGTTAATCATACTTTGATAAAATTGCAATTAATTCAAACTTTAACATCTTGGGTTTTAAAATACATATCATGGTTAATTATGAAAGTATGGAATCAGGTTGCCTATCACAGCCTTCATGTGATACAATGTGAAGCATATGTTTTCAACAACAAAGTGCTTAGTTAACAAAAAAAGAATCATTCTTTAAAATTTTTTAACACACACATATATGCACATGCTTACCTCGAAGGAATTGGATCTTATATATATATATATATGTATCTACTGAATTGTGTCAAATACATGTATAGATGAAACTTACAAAAAATTCAATTCAATTTCCATGTGATGAGTATATGCTTCACTATGCCTACTCCTACAAGGCTTGTATTTTGGGACAGGCTTTCTGACAACATAAACAAATGATTTCCAAAAGTGAATTACTGCTTAACCTACTACATCCAATTGGGTGCAAGACAGCTTTGAGTTAAGAGTTTTCCAAAGTGGGTCACAAGAAAGGACAACCAAAACACATCCATTCAAACACTTGGACCAAAGACTACACACTCAGCAAGATTAGGGCTCCTTAGAAAACCAGGTTTAGGGTTTCCCACACCCAGTGCTTCATCGTCTATGATTCCTTGCTTCCCAAGGGTCTCCATGGCCTGTTGTAAATTGTCCGCGAGCAACGAGTGTTGAGAATCCGCTGTCTCGTTTCCGGCACGTTTTCTGGACTGTTGCCATACAATGTCATTCTGTGGATGTGTATTCGCGGTGGCTTGCAGACTTCGCAGCAGTTTTATTACTATCTTCAATCCTGAGATACCTTGTCGGAGTTCGTTGTAGAGATTTCGTATTTGTGAGGATTGCGACGTGCATCTCGAGAGTTTCGGTACTCGAAACCAATGACATCAGGGATGTGAGAGCTATCCTTGATGCGGAGGTACCGACACACGCTGGTATCCTCCACCCAAGGGAACCATTTAGAGACTATGTTATTCATGAGGAAGAACCATCCGGCGCCCATGAGGAGACCCAAGCTGCCTCCGGCTATGATCTGAGGTGTGGTGTGGTAACCCAGGTATACTCTGGAGTACATGACAGTGAGCGCGAATGGCCAGGGCAGTAGGGCAACAAAGATTCGTCGGAACTCGTCGGCGAAGTGGAGCCTGCGCGTCACCAGAAGAGTACAATACATTGAGAAGAAGCACATGTACTGGGAGTGGCTCGATGGCCACCCGTTGGAATCGCACATCTCCAACGCCTCGCAAGTTAGAGGCCGGGCTTCGTGGGCTAGTTCCTTGATGATCTGCACAGGGAGCACCGACAAGGCGGCAGGACACAACGTTAGCGTCATGAAATAATGCAGTGGTTTCAAAATCAATTTACAAAGTAGACCTCCATTTTGCCGCTCATCCGACACGGCCATGAATGGCAGAAGTTGTAGATGAGCTGACTATCTTAAGTGAATGAGAATTGGAACTGTCCAGATTCACAATGGAATTATCAAAGAATCGTTTGACAGCACCTACAATCGTTCTCGTTCGAGAATTCTCTTATCGGTAGGGTGTTCAATTCAAGGTGAAATTCATACTACCGGAAACACTTTTTTTTCAAAGTATACGTTATGGCTTGGTGTATTACAGATAGTCACCAAACAATTCGACACAGTTGCTGACACCGACCACACCGACTGAGTGCTAGAACATGACTAGATTGCTCCGACGCAGACACGCAATCAACCTCAGGGTTGCAAACAGGACTTGGGACTACTTGATGTACATGTTTCCTAACATATTTTGGCAGCTGAATTAAGTGAATTCTATACTCTAGCTGCCTATCACTGAATCATTATTCTAAACCCTTTCTATTCTCTAGGCGAAGACCTGCCTCAAGATTCAAAGAGGAAGGGACGCAGACATAGACGTCTGGAAAGAAAAACACATCACAGGATCGGAAAGCATGCTTAGGTCCTGTGTCGTGCTTCCCTCCAAGCTCCTATTGCTCCGTCTATTCGATTTGTGAAGAGCAGGATACAAAATTCGGCCGTTTTCCTTTAATTTTTAGGCTGGCTCTACAGAAATCCAACTATCCAGGAGATGAAGGTGACGAGGAAGGGGAAGGCGAAAACACCTGGTTCACGATTTCATTCACAATCAGTCCCAAGCCAAAGAACATGGCCTGTAACTCTCGCCGGAAGATGAAATGCGACATAAAGCCACCCAAAGCGATGAACACCGGCAGCAAGGAAAACCACGACAGAGCGTGGCCAAGCAAATCCCCCTGGTGATACCGCACGTGAGTCAGTGTAACCGCCTTCAAGGCTATCGTCTCCGCTATTTCAGCCGAACCCAACTCCATCTCTACAACTCCAAAACCTCAACAAAAAAACTCCAGAGCTTCTCTGCTCGAACACAAACTGAAGCTCCACAAAATCTGCACCAATTCCCTCTGCAGCTTTCTCTCTCTCTTTCTCTCTCTCTCTCTCTCTCTCTCTCCCCCACTCTCGAAGCACTAAAAATCACAACCACGACAAGACAAAGGCAATACAGATAGCACCGAAAGATTCAACTGTAGGGCTGTTTGGATTGCGCAATATACTGCATGTTGCAAGATAACAACAGAATCTCACACGACTAAGAGCAAGAGGAATTTGGAAGAATCGCGAGCGAGTTAATCTCACGAGGAGTGCATTAGTCTACGTTGCGTGGCGGGGTGTGACTGGTAGTGTCAGCGTCAAAAGCTGTGGGGTGGCCAACGTGGATGCAAAGTTGGTCAGCCTGTTAAAGCGCCGAGATGCACAACTGGAGTAACAGGTGGCGACCGAAGAGTAGACCACCTAAACCCCCTTGTGACCTCATTCCCCTCGAAATCTTCGATGGGCGCAACATTCGTGGGTGATCGATTGGAGGAAATACGATGGTCTGAATTGGCACGTTGTTTCAGGTTTTATGGTATTGCCTGCCCAGCCTGAGCAGGTCTCTTTATTAACAGGGAGCCTGCAAAGAATCGATGCGCTGTATCCCATTCCTGCGTATGAATTACCATTACGGATTTGGAGGTGAGATCTGTTGCGCTTAGTGCTATGGAAACGCACCCCCTTATAACCATGTCTACCCAATATGTGGCCCATTTCAATTTTCACTTGAAAATGTGATCTATGTGCTATCTAGGGGATTGGGAAATGAATTGAAGGGGAGCTGTATCATAACTAACTAACGTGTCGCTAATACGCGCTTTGCGTCTAGATTGCAAGCCCAATCGTGTTAATGGATCACTGTTTTCCACTCCCGACTATCTAAACTGTATATGAATTGTGCAGCAATATGTACAACAAGAGCACACTTTGGAAAACTCTACCAGCATTGTCCGTAACTTCACTTATCACCAGGACTTGGAGAACCACTGGCTGTTGGTGATTGAGCAAGAGTTACACATCGAACAGGTGGATTTTCAGATTGAAAGATTGCTCGTCGCAATTGAAGAGGCCCACGTCATGGCAACTTGGGGAAGTTTTAATGTTTTGGTCTTGGAGCGTCAGTTGAAAGTACTTTTGGGGGCGTAGTTGAAGTTGAAGTCCATTCTAGGTTGTGATGGCATAATGGGATAGGCCCAATTCTCAAGTCCCCCAGGTCTCCCACATGACAAATTTGGCTGGGCCTCGTAACCCATCCCCGAAAACATGGATTCCAGCCCATGAGCATTGCTTGAGCCAGTATTTGTGAACCCCATGGCTGTTGCCCGGAACATGCTTTGCACTTCATCATCAGATGCGGAGCGACCTGCCGGCATAGGCTTCTCCTGGCAGTTCCTCTGGCCGAAGGTGTAAGATCTCGGCGGGTGTTGGAACTGGGCCATACCGCCGTCGGCCATAGGTTGAGTACTGACAGCCAGTCGATGGACTGAAGGGACTGATGCAAGCTGCTCCATAAGCCTAGATCTCTCTAGATTATCATGGTCAGTAGCCATCGATTGCTGCAATTTCCATTCATTGGTCAAGTTTTGCAAATCTTGCACCGAAACGCCTGGGTTATTCGACATAGTTTCCCTTTGAAGACTGTCGAAGCTGGCTGACAGACACCCATTCTCCGAACTGTTCTCCACGAGCAAGCTGTCCACGAGTGCCTCCTGCTGAACCGCAAATTCTAGGCTTCCATTCGAAGTATTTAGGTGTGGGAGCGCCAGCCTAGAGTCATCAATTGAGTTAGGAAGAGACGCTAACACCTCCTCGACGCAGGAATTTTCCTGTTCCTTTCCAGCTCGCTGGGCATGGGTGGTTTTTTCATAAATTCGGCACAGGACCCAATCATCTAGCTGCATCACCAAATGTAGGTTACGTTCAGATCGGAGCGTCCTAACATAGTTGTGGATGTTCCACGAAACAAGAGAAATCGAACGTAGGGGAGTTGGGTTAATCGAAAGTCCTTCAGAAAACACCAAAATACGTAATAGCGGACATGAATGTTTGTGAGGTAGGAGAATGCAGGACATACACGCAGAGAGCCCCTTCGGTGATGGTTATTGGAGGTTGAGACGCCTTCCGCGAGGCGGTACTCGTGCATGATCCAGTTCGTCTTCTCGCCCTTGGGTGCCTTCCCCCGGTAGAACACCAGGGCCTTCTTCACGCCGACCTTGCCGTGCCCAGTGGACATATGGATGAGCTTGTCCGTTCCTGTGGCTTTCCAGTACCCGCTCGCCGCAGCTCTATTGGGCCTTGCACCGTTCGGATACTTTCTATACCTCGGAGAAAAGAAATACCATTCCCTGTCGCCGAACAGCGCCTTATCTACAATGGTTGCAAAATCGCACATCAGAGTGGAAACTGCCGGAATAATGTAGCAATCTTTTCAAGTTCGATAAGACATTACTATACTGTTTCCGGTGGGGCGGAATTTCAAGTAACTAGGTACATCCGGATGTGCAAATGAATTTCATGTTTCAGGCTATGAAGCTTTCGGGATTTGAACATGTCAAGCGTTATTTGCTTCGCTGAGACTGACGTAACCAGCCTTGGTTTCAGTTCTGCCAAGTCCTCTCACTTGTAGGTTGGACATTAAGTATTCGATTTCTCAAGCACCTATTATTGAGAAACATCACCCATTTTGGTGATGTTGTTTTCGAATCAGTCAGAGAGAAAAGCTTACTAGGGAGATCCCAAGGGTCGAACTTGTAGAGGTTGACCTCGGCTATGACGGGGATTTTGAAGGCGTCAGAGTCGGCCTTCCGACGGAGGTAGTGCAGCACAAGCTCCTCGTCGGTTGGATGGAACCGGAACCCTGGAGGTAATTGTAGTTGGTCAATAGATCCTCGGCCTAACTCCATGTTCACCACAGTTCTGGTAAACTCCGAAGACGCAGCGAGTTTTTCCAAATGTTACAAGTATCTGAAGAAGCTTTCTCACACTCAGGACTTCACTTTCGAAACGCAGGCCAAACTCAGACTTGTCTCCTGTTCTCCTTGGTTTTCTAATACATATGAATATGAATGTTCTCGATTGGACACGGTATGATTGGCTTTGACACTACCGGGACTTTTAGAAGAGGATAACGGACAAGATGAACTGTTCGCTTTTGGGAAACCCCGACAAGCAGCTTAGACAGGTGAGAGAGGATTGCAAGATAGTAAAGGCGTGGTATGGCAGGGAAGGACAACCTGGTGACCATGGATTTTAACGCTTTCCGCATTAGTACATCGACTTCCGAAGCATCGGGCCTCTTGAATCGGCACTGCACTGGTGCATTCACACATGTAGTCTCCTTTCGCAGGATCAAGGTCCACTTTTACCGACGGGCTCTTGCGATCGTTTTTACTTGACAACTTATCCAGCAGTACTCTCATGTACCGACTGGACTCAAACGCACCTCAACCTGAAATTTCTCGAAATTGACAATTCACCTTCAAGCGATCGAGGCTCCAAGTTCTAGGAAGGGAATTCTTTTTGTTCTTGTATGCACATTTGGATCATAAATTCCCACGGAATCTTACTAGGAGAGGGTCTCTCTTACACAAATTCAATGCTCTGTGTGGACGAAGTATTCGACGACAAATTCAAGGGTACTGTGGTATTCAGGCTTCACCAGAGCCACCTTTACCTCAAATTGATTTCAGAGGTCACAAAAGGTACAAAAACCCTTACTAATCTTTGAAACCTTCTAAAGGTTAATATTGAGCGCTGTGCATCTAAGGTTCATGAAATTTTTGCAAGAGTGCTTCAGGATTACGCAACAAGGACCACAGGAAGGCGCTACGGCAAAGATATTTTCCTAGTTGTTGCAGCAAGGGGCCGTGCTGACCACACCGCGGGCCTCGGAGATATCAACGCCGAGGGAAAACTAAGCGCACGCTCTCTCGCTCTCTTGCAACCCAGTTGACAAAGTCGCCAATTCAGCTACTGTCTCTTTAACTGCAAGGCTAAACGTTCCACAAACTCGAACTGATGAGAACCTAACGCTGCATGCAATCTGACAGGAAAAAATGAAACGCGAGAAAGCCGACACTCAAACCGCATGCCTCCTCTCAGATCCCTTCCGATGGTAGATGAAATGGCCCTTGAAGACCTGGTCACTAATATGAACAGTACTGCTCCGCAAATTAGGACTGGACGAGGCCAAACATAAATACATAAAAAGTTGGCGGCGTTGATAAGGCGGAGCTTGGCCGGATTGATAAGAGCCTTTGACGACGGGTACTAAGACAATGCAACTGGCGGCTAGGAACTGTGGTGACGCGGGGGGATGTGGTAAGATACCCTAGCAGATCTCTGGGTTGGAGACGTTGATGATGCTGGACTTTGTGGTCTTGTTAGAAAAGTCTATTAGGCCACATGCTCCATCGTCACTGCATGCAGTTTGAATCCTGTTTTTCTCATGAACTTCTCGGCCTTTCTTCCAGACCCCACCTCTCTTTTTCAATTCCACAAGGTTGAAGGTTTTCCTCTAAGAGCTATAGCATCGCCACCGCACATTCTGAAACCTGCGAAGCACAGGCATGCTGGCCTAGCCATCATCTGCCTGTCGATCAGATCGACTGGACACATCACTGAAGCTCTCGGTTGCTCAGACTTTCGTTTTTGTTGGAAACCTTACTCCAGTTTGTTGCCTCACACAATTGTTATGCGTCAGCCTGAAATCTGAACATGTGATGCAATTAAGGCTGCGACATCATGACGCATTCTTGAGAATGTTCTGATATTTTGACTGACTCAGCAGATTTTAAGAGTTCCTGATCCCGCTGTTATCCCGCCCGAAGTTCATCATCTCACACGATTTGCGTATTGCTACCAATGGGATAGAGAGGTTCTGTCGATTGGCAGAGCTAACTGATTTTATGTGGAAATTTCCACATTTTTATGAGGTACATGATAACGACTAACCTGAAAACACGCTTGACCTTGCATGTCAGACTGTCTCCTGTTGTGAGTTGTAACGCCGTGGATTACTGACTTTGTGTACTAAGTGCCCGCTCAGAGCTTTAGCGCACGTCTGTGCATGACTAGTGAAGGCAGCCTAATTTACGTTCAGCATATGATTGAAAGCCCGGTCTTCTAAACTGACAATGTTTGAAGGAATACTATCCCGAATGAAGCACACGAGCGAGAGCCCTTCCGTCGTGAACTTCGATTCGCTCAAACATAAACATGAATCCAAACCCATGTAAATCATATCTATGATGCTCTAAGGTTCTGTAAACATGACTAGAAACAAAATTTTACTTCCTGTTCTTTCTTTTGAGTAAATATATATATATATATATATATATATATACACATATCTATACACATATGTAATTTATACTAACTGTCATGGCATTCCTTGGTTTCATGCTTCTAGTTTCATGCTTCCCATAAATATGTCTAACAGCTTTTTCACCAAAGTCAACAAACACTTTTTATTTAAGATTTTAAGATCTAACTTGCTTTCTGCCAGAATACCATTAATGATCTATCGAAATCAAAACGGAAAAGCGACTTTGTGGCCATTGAAGCAGATTGAACCCACAAAGCACATTCCAGATCAGACTAGCAGCTGCATCGAAAAGAATAAGTCAAGCATCTTCCTATGGTCAAGAAACAGACAACCCCCAGAAAAGCCCAGCTTTCTATCTCTGGAGAAATATTTAAGCCTGGGGAACGTTCCGTATCTCTTCGTCGAACGCCGAAACACAAGCGATTCTTCCAACCACTGGGGTTCCACAGCGACAAGCTCACATTCCGATGGACTCATCTTGTTCCTGGTTGAAACGGTGCAAACCCCGCAGTTCATTAGATCTCACAACATTCCGAAGGCTGTATCCGCCCGCATCCTGGACGCTTTCAAAAACAATCCGCCTTCTTGTGCGCGCGTTCAGACGACGAACGCGATCGCTGTGCGGCGAGCCTTCAGCTTCCATAACGAAGCCGCTCCTCGGATCACATCAGCCTCGAAAACGGGCATTCCAGGCAACAGAATGTCCTCCCAAGGCTGCTTTCCATTCTTGTTGTAAATGGGACGTAAGCTTGCCCATTCCATCACAAAAATAATGAATGTGGATGAACGTAGTTCGTCGATAAAGGATGCTTGGAATCATGATGAAATATCACACGTGTAGTTTTTATCACTGATAATGGCTTTGCGTCTCGTTGACTGATTTTCAGTGTGTTTTGGCGGGCTGATCCTCATTCCAGCTCAGCAATCGCGACGGGTCCTCATGAATGAGATATCGCCAATGTGGCTCCACATTCTTCACGTGGTCCTGGAGGAAGCTTCGCGCGGGGAGGACGTGGAAGGGGCGGCGGGGTTAGTGAGCAAAAAGACGGGTCACGGGTGTACCAGGACCAGGCGTCGCTCTCCGTGACAGAGAACCCCGTCGCTCTCCGTGACATCTAACTATAGTAACAAAAAAACAAAAACAAAAATTGGATTTTCAATAAATAGATTAATAGATAGAAGAATTTTCTTTAAATCAAATATAGTCATTGTGTAAAACTACGATGAAACTCTAACCACATAAAGCTGTATGCATGTATGTATAAACATTTTATTTTCTATCTTAATATCATTTTCAAAAAGATATAAATAAAAACAAAAGTTACATTTTATTTATAATAAATTTTAAGTTATTACTATTATTATATATACATGTATATTAACTATTCAAACATATTAGATAGGTACATACTAGATGAATACCTATATATATATATATATATATATATATATACATTCAGTAAAATTATAATAAAATTTATTTTAATACAGAGTTTAATAATAAAATTTATAAAATTAAATATTTTAAAAAATATTTATTTTAAATTAAAATATGTAATTACAAAATCAAATAAAGATAATCTCATATTGTGTTCAAATTTATTCAAAATTTTCTCATTTAAATAATATTTTAAAGTTCTTATAATTAATATATATTTATAAGCTTCTTTATATAAGTGGTATATTTTTCTTAAAATATCAATTTTTTAAAATTTTTATAAATAATAAGTTTTATACAATAACATGTATTATAATAAAGTTTGTGAGCATTGTTATATAAGAAATATAATAAGATGAATCCAAAATTAAACACATTTATATGCATATTAATTTCTTTCTTTTGTTGTTGATCCTTAATATAATTGTTTTTTCTAAGTACATCTAAAATTAATGTTTTTGAAAGTTTTTATTTGTCTTATTTCTTTTAACATTTAAAAAATAAAATAAAAATAAAATAAAATTGGTATACACCTTTCTTTTATTACATAGACACTCACTTGCCCAATTGTTAAGGACATGAGTTGTAAACAATCAAAACACTATCATATTATGTGTCATCCTATTTGAAAATGCACCAGGCATCTGGCTATGGAAGGTGGGATTGTATTTTACAAGTATCCAAGAATTTTAATATGTTTCACCTTAATAAGAAGAATGCAATTTGAATTTTAATACAACTTTCTTTTTCTTTCACCTAATGGTTGTATTACTACATGTGTCATGGACACAGAAATACAGGCTCGAGATCTAACAAGAAATTCAAGAAGAACTAGCAAGAACTAGATTAATCAGATGAATACAAGAACAACACCAGAGAGGTGAGCTAGAGCTCCAAGAGATGTATTGTCGAGATTGAAGAACTCTTCACCCTGGATTCCAATATATACTCCTATTTAGGAAACTTCTCAAGCAACTTCTACCAATTAAGAAGCTTCTAGAAGGTTCCAGAGACTTGCTTCTAGAAGGTTCTAGAAACTTGTCTCTAGAAGGTTCTAAGGACTATGTCCCTAACATCTTCTACTAATTAAAAAGCTTCCAGAAGGTTCCAGAGACTTGCTTCTAGAAGATTCTAGAAACTTGTCTCTAGAAGGTTCTAAGGACTATGTCCCTAACATTGCCCCCTCCTTTAGCTTCGAGGTCTCTGAGAAGCAATGTTGTTGTTAATGAGTACCAACGCAAGAAAATGAAGATCTGTTGCATAACATCTACTATGAATTCCAACTGTTGTTCACGAGGCAAGTGGTTCATTGGCCCTTGAAGCCAACGGTAGTAGCCCATTCCTTCAACTTCTGACCAAGCATGAACTTCCGTGTCCTCATTGTGAAATTGTCCTGCAAATACGCCTTCTGGCTGACCATCGTAAGCAGGCTCGAACTCGAATTCAATCACCAATGATCGGTTACTCGGTATCCTCCGTCGTCCTCGTGGTGTAGGTGATTTTTCATCTCGAAGTCGCCTTCGTGAGCTAGTCGGTTGAGATAATCTAACTGGCATAGTATCTATCTCTTGGCTATCCATATCAGAAGACCAAACTATGGCTACTGAAAAATGTCTACTTTATCTTGGAGAAAATAACTACATCAACTGTGAATTTTGGTGGTGCTCTCCCCCTTTCTTATATTTTTGGATGAGCAAGCTTTAGAAGGAAGCTATCGTCGAACCGACTTAGGTTTATGAACATGTTGTTGATGAAACTCCTGTACCTTTTGTGGTGCATTGGCAAGATTTTCAGCAGGCTTCTACGTTCGTTTATTAATGTCATAGCAGTACCAATGAATAAGATACTCCAACTTGTCCCATCTTCGCCGTGAATCTAGTACCTTTTCAACGTCATATTCCTCATGGTTCTCAATCTCAATACTAGGTGGTAAACATTGCATTCTTCCAGGAAAAGACGACTCTCGATAAGGCTCTAACAGAGAAACATGAAAGACTGGATGTACCTTCATAGAAGCCGGTAATTCCAGACGGTACGCCACTGGATTGATTTGTTTTTAGATGATAAATGGTCCCAATCTTCAATAGTCCAACTTATCACATGGTCGCTTGGTCTTGATATTCCGTCGAAGAAGCCATGCTTTATCTCCAACTTTGAAAGTAGGTGCTTGATTCCGAAATCTATCTGCAAACGCCTTGTAGGATTCTTGAGCGCATTGTAATTCAAGCTTCAACATATTTTGAAGCTCTGATAGTTGTTTCGCAAATCCTTCAGCTGTTGGATTGTTATTTGTTGATGGACTCAATAAATCAAGCTTCGGATGATACCCATAGTTGGAAAAGAATGGTGTGTATTGAGTCGACGTATAGAGGGTGTTGTTATATGCAAACTTGGCTAGCGGCAGATATGTGGTCCGATCGTCTTGCTGATAGTTGATGCTGCATCATAAGTATTGTTCCAAGACTTGATTCACTCATTCCGTTTGGCCGTCAGTTTGAGGATGAAAAGCCGAAAAAAGCTTGATATCCACCTTCAGTATCTCAAAGAGAGATCTCCAAAACTTTGATACGAATTGGGTTCCTCGATCTGATATAATATCATCTGGTAGTCCATGATATCGATACACATTATCAAGAAAGAGCCTTGCTGTGACTTCACTGGATGATGTCTTCTTGCAAGGGACAAAGTGCGCCATCTTTGTAAGCCGATCTACTATGACAAAGATGCTATCAAATGAGTTCGATGATGGCAGATCTATGATGAAGTCCATGGAAACTGAAGACCATAGTCGACGTGGAATCGGCAATGGCTGTAGGAGTCCATAAAGGCGATGCTCAGGATTCTTGGATCTTGAACAAATGTCATAGGAGAGGACAAAAACTTTCACATCCTTCCACATTTGGGGCCACCAAAAATCTCGAGAAATAAGCTCCAAGGTCTTGTTGAATCCAAAATGTCCCGCAGTTGGAAAATCGTGGCAAGATTAAAGAACTCGGAGTCGTACAACCGCTCCTCAAAGTATAAAAGATCTCCCTCCACCTTGAATTTGTCATCATTGGCATGCTGCTTAATATCAATGGCTACTAAATCTTCAATGGTCACGGCACGTACTTGATTCAGGAAGTCAGCATCAATTGGCACAATAGTAGCACAAAGCTAAAATTGCTCTGGCTTCAATAATGTCGTACATTGTTGATCAAACGCTGCTTCTTCAACCTTTGGTACAAGATACGATCTCCTCGATAAGGCATCAGATAGTCCTTGCTGCTTTCCAGGTCGATAAGTGGTAACAAAATCGAACTAGATAGCAACATACTCCACCGAGCTTCACGTCGATTTAGAACTTGAGTCGATATGAAATACTCCAAATTCTTGTGATCTGTGTATACGGTCATTGGGTGTGCAGCTCCTTCATGAAAGTGACGCCAATCTTGGAAAGAATCCACTATAGCAAGAAGTTCCTTATCGTGGATCTCATAATTGATTTCAATAGCAGAGAACTTTCGAGAATAGAATGCAACCGGATGGAGCTTCTTGTCTTCTCCCATTTGTGAAAGTACAGCTCCCAAAGCAAAATCCGAAGCATCAATTTCCAAATAAAAGGCCTTTGTAAAGTCTGGATGTACCAAGATTGGAGCCGTAGTAAATGCAGTCTTCAAGTCTTCAAACGCCTTCTCCGCTAGACGTCCCCATTCCAGCTTATCCTTGCACGTCAACCGAGTGAGAGAAACAGCAACTTGAGAGTAATTCTTGATGAAGATCCGATAGAAGTTGGCAAAACCAAGAAAACATTGTACGTCTCTAACCGTCTTTGGAACCTCCTTAGACACCATTGCTTCCACCTTCTTGGGATCTATCTTCAAGCCTTCCGTAGTCGCAATGAACCCTAGAAACTCCATCTCTATTTGGTGAAATAAACACTTCTCCAACTTGGCATATAGTCCTCGCTCGTGTAGTTTCTCCAAGATCAAACGAACGTGCTTTTAATGCTCTTCCTCGTTTTTGGAGAATATTCGAATGTCATCTAAATAGATGACAACAAAATCGTCAAGGTGCTCTCGGAAAATGTCATTCATCATAGGTTGAAAGATTGCTGGAGCATTGGTAAGACCAAAGGGCATGACATTATACTCAAAATGGCCATACCTTATACGGAACGTTGTCTTCCACTCATCTCCTTCCTTGATTCGTATGAGGTTGTAAGCTTCCCTTAAATCAATTTTTGTAAAGATCCTTGCACATCCAAGTTGTTCTAAGAGACCAGAAATCAAGGGTAACGGATAACAATTCTTCTTTGTTACCTTGTTGAGGCCTCGATAGTCCACGCACATCGGCAACAAGCCATCTTTCTTCTTCACAAATAAGATGGATGCTCCAGTTGACGATTTTGAATGACGAATGAAGTTCTTGGCTAGATTCTCGTCGATATACTTCTGCAACTCTGCCAACTCCGTCTGCGATAGATTGTAGATTGGGCCAAAAGGCGGTTGTATCCCTTCCTACAAGTCTATGGTGCAATCGTATGGTCAGTGTTCTGATAGCATGTCGACATTCTTCTTTTGAAACACGTCTTTAAAATCCTTATATTGCTCAGGTATAGTTGCTGTCGAGATCTTCTCCCTGGTAGTTGGAGCCGCATAAATGACAAACGGTGTGCCTTCCTTAGACGATCTAATAAACGCTCTTGCTCTAATGAATAAAGATTTTTCTATTCGGGGTTTTCTACTAGGCTTGCTCTTGGGTGGTTTTGTAAGCAAGGTCATCTTCTGCAACCTCCAATCTATCGATGGGTTATGTTTTTCCAACCATGAAAGACCAAGAATAACTGGATTTGATGGAGTTCTAATAATATTAAAAATAGTATGACTACTATGGCCCTTAAACGACACTTCTATAGGTTCTGATTCATAGGTGACACTACCAAATAGTAAAGGTCACCCATCTATGACCTCAACGTGAACAGGTTTGGATTTTTGTACTAAAGGGATCTTATGACGCTTCACAATTTCTTCGTCTAAGAAACAAGCAGATGCTCTTGAATCTAATAATGCTAAGGTTCTCAGTTTCTGAGGACCAATAAGCTAAGAGTTTGTAAAGCAAAGGGCAGGTTGAGCGGAAAGAAAGGAACCTGGTTGTTGTTGCGATATTTCACTGTCCAGCCGCATGGTTCCTATTGTGGCTGGGCATCCTCGTTTTCTTGAACAAATACACTCCTAGTCTTGACAATACGTTGATTTTACTTTTTGGGACAGTTTCCAACTTTGTGGCGTTCTTCACCGCAATACAAGCATAGACCTTCTTCCATGCGCTGTTTTTTTTTTCTAGAGTAAGAAATTTGACACGTACCGCATCAATTTGCATGACTTCTATCTCTGAATGTGAATTCATGCTGCTTGTCAACATAGTTGGGGCGTGGTGAATCGTATGTTGTCTTGAACGTTAGTCTTGGTGGCGTTGGAATAGGCGATTATTGTACTTTACAGCTTGGTTAATAGCTTCGTTGAGCATTTGCGGATCAAGAAGAGTTAACAGCAAATCCTTCACATCGTCCCTTAAATCTTAATAGAATTGACTCATCAACGCTTCTTCATCCCAATTGATGTCGCATGCAAATTGCCTGAAGTCCGATGCATAGACTGATGTAAAGCGCATCCCTTGTTGTAGTGATCGGATCTTTGTTGTAGTCCATCGAACCTTGTCGTGTTCACCAAATGCTTTCGCAAACGCCTCCAAAAAGATTTCAAAGTTGTTTAGTATGGACGATCGTTTCTCAAACAAAGGAGCAAACCATGATAGAGCTTGCTCTGTAAGTAAGGTTCCAATAAGCCCAACATGTGACTCCTCCGTTGGATAGCGTTTGGGCTGTAAAACTGTTATCAACCTGATTTGGTTGATGAATCCTCGAAACTTGGAACGCGTACCATCGAACTTGTCCGGAAGGCTAACTCGGGGCTTCTTATGTTGTAGAACTAGTAGTGCTTGTCGAACCTGAGGCAAAGTTGCTTCTCCAAGTGCAAAAGTTTGAGGCTAGTGCAACCTAGATTGTGCCATCCCAGATGCTCCATCATTATAAAGCCTTGCCACGACTCCTTCAATCTCTGCAGTTCTTTGTGATAACGTAGCGAGGGCATTTTTGATAGCATCCAACTTGGACTCTGAACTTTTCGTCATACTAATGTCTTGGCCTCCGGCCATTCTAAGAGAAGGACAGAAATGACTCTACAAGAAGACAAAGTTGGTTTAAAGAAGGATACTCCGCAACCTCTAAAATGCCTTAAGAGCTTCAAGAAAATGGATAATCCACTCTCTCCAAGAAGAATAAGACTCCAATATTGTAACAAAAGAAGTATCAGTTTAGAGGAGGATAATCTGCAACTTCTAAAATGCTAGTACACTTCCAAGTAAAGGGATAATCCGCACTCTAACGAGGAAGAAACTAGCTCTGATATCTGAGGTGAGTGCAATCTCGACAAACTGTCACGGACACAGAAATACAGGCTCGAGATCTAATAAGAAGTTCAAGAAGAACTGGCAAGAACTAGATTAATCAGATGAATACAAGAACAACACCAGAAAAGTGAGCTAGAGCTCCAAAAGATGTGTTGTCGAGACTGAAGAACTCTTCAGCCTCAATTCCAATATATACTCCTATTTAGGAAACTTCTCAAGCAACTTTTATCAACTAGGAAGCTTCTAGAAGGTTCCAGAGACTTGCTTCTAGAAGGTTCTAGAAACTTGTCTCTAAAAGGTTCTAAAGACTATGTCCCTAACAACATGACATTGTCATCTATTAGCAAACCAACTAAGATTAGATTTTTTGGTGATTAATATATATAATAAGTATTTTAAAATTTCATTAATTTCAAATTGATTTGTAAATGGGAAGATCCAAAAGTATCTATCTTTTGATTCTTTTTATTTGTAGTTTTTTATATTTCTATTAAAAGATTATAAGTCTACTATCTCTAATCTTATTCTTTCTCTTGTAAAATTATTTGAAGCTTCAAAGTCCGTATATTAACTTTGATTATGATAATTTATAAATTCTTTTCTTCTATTGATGTGTTTACAAGTTCTATAATGTTATATTTTGTAAAATAGTATGTTAAAGAATTATTTTAAGATCTTGTATTACAATCTTTAGTGATGTTACCTTAGCAGCCACAATTATAGTAGTATATTACTTGCATGTTCTTGAACTAGTCCATAATAGAATATTTGGATAAGTAGCTTCTACCTTCTTGATTGGCCTTTGTTGAAATTTAGTGCATTAAGTATTGATGATGGTCCTCTATAATATGGAACTGCTCAACAAAATATTTGGTATTGTCTAGGGCTTCTACAACTAGAGTTCCTTCTTTTTTCTTACTAAAATTATATACTAGCTTCTAAAACCAAATAACGATTATTAAAATTGAATGGCAAAGGTCCTTTTCTAACCAAATTTTTTTGTCTCAAATATACATCATATAAAATTTTATTAACAATTTTTCTATGTCTTCTTCAAAGAATAGATTTGGGATATAGATTTTATCTTGAATGACCATCTTATAGCTTTGGAAAAGGCTATTGAGTACTATGTTGTTAAAAATTTTATCTTAAATAGTCTCTTCAAATGCTTTGAGTTGATTTTGTATGTCCATTGCTTTCGTAAGATATGTGTGGATGTTGCCTCTTTTATTCATGATTTTAATGTTCAGTTTATCACTAAAGAGCATAATCTGTTGTTGATATCTTAATTGAAATATCATCTTGAATATCTTCTAAGAGTCAATTAGATTATTATATTGAGACATTGTGCTTAATAGATTGTTTATAATGGATAGTATAATCTTAAATTGAATTCATTGTTTGGCATCTTACAATTCAATTTTTGTATAAGCTCTATCTCCTATTGTAGCCAAAAATACTTTTGAACTACTCTTTTCTACCACTAAAAACATTAGGTTCTTTTTCTTTAGTATGGCCATCATTTTGAACTTTCCAAATATTCAAGTTCTCTAGTCCTATCACCCTACTATTGTTGTCAACCTCACAACTTAATATTCTTTCTTTGAGATATCTCCCATTGTTTCTTTACTAGTGGTTTCTTAACTTTTGACTACTATCACTTATCAACTATTGATTTGAGAAGAAATCTCTTTTGCTATCTAAATCTAGTATTGCAGCCCTAAACCTAAGCTCTAATATCATTTTGCTAACGTCACACAAAGTTGTTTGGAATGAAGAGGGCTTTATTAACAAAGTGATTCAATATATTCATTGAGGGCAATCTTGGTCTACAATTAGAATGAGGCACATCGATAGTTTTCAAATACAAACGAGAGAGACAAGGATGGACGAGAGCGTTCGTAGAGGTGATGACTTCAGCACGGGCTGATAATGCCATCATATTAGAACTGCATCACATCAATTGGTAGCGTGACATCAATTGGCAGCGTGAGGTTCGGTACTCGCATCCACATTCTCAAGCTGTTTCCACATCGAAGTTGAATGAATGTAACAGTCATTCTCGTAAACCGAAATCGCGAAGCCGTTCTTGTGTAACACACGCCATCCATCGACCACCATCAGGTGAAGACGCTTGCTGCAGCAATGGCAGACTCAGTACCGTCTGTTTCTTGCTTAACATGCGCGAAGAATGCTGCAACTTCTCGCTTTTGTGCTGCCGGACTTACCTTGGTTGCGAACGAGGGGAACGAATTAGCCGCTGCCATGAGTCCATCGTACCGATAGAATGGATTGCGATAGGGGAACCAATCAGCAAACTTTTCTCTCGCAAGAATGCTGCGAAGGTGGTCTCCTCCTGACAAGGCTAGACAAGCAGACCACGAGCAGCAACAGTGCAAGCCTCCGCAAGGAGACCGGGACTGGCTACATCTTCACAGGTATCTAGCCACCAAGAAATGGTGCGAGGAGCCCTAGGAGCGTTTGAGCTGTTGGGTGCGAAGGTATGAATTGGACCCACATCCGCAAGCTCCATTTATTTCTGCTCGGGTCCACACTTAGAGAGCTCGCAGTCAAAGTGCACGCCCGATACATTCGTGATGTAATGAGCTCTGTGCGATTGCAGACCGATTGCAGACCTGTGGGCGACGAGTTTGGGAGCAATGTTGGGGAAACTTTTGTGAAGTACGGACCAGGACCCCTGATGTTGTAAATTATCGTGACTCGCTGGTGTACAATGTCTGGATGGTTGGCATGGATTTCAACATCTGCAGTCTGTAGGATTGTGGATGCAAGTTCGAATGTTTTGGGAGAGTCTCAAACTTGAACAGATAGATAGATAGTTAGCTAGTTGGTTGGTTTGCCCATTCAAGGAACATGATCTGGCCTCGGACATTCTTCCCTTTCGACCATTCTGTGGTCAGTGGTCGACGTGCGAGTTAGTCCGCTGTCAGTTCACTCGCAAAGCAACCGCGCCGCCGTTAAAGTACGCAGTGATTATGGATGCCGATATCGCATTACTGTCCAAACTGCACGTTGGTTACCTGGCTCAGAGTGCGCGGGGATTCGCGACAGTCGTATTGAGTGGGCGCTGGAGAAAACGGTGCAGGAGGAGGCAACGACTGAGATAATACTGAACGGCTATGGTGCTAAACACACAATCGAAGATATAAACAACTGAATATCAGAATGGGATGTGATCGTGCGGAAGAAAAGTTGCTAGTTCTATACGGAGTGGACATGACCCTGGATTACGGGCTTCACGACTCTGAATCTGCAGGCATTCGTACTTTTACGTGGTGTCGTAAGGACGTGGCCAGCGTGAAGTTCTGATGAGGGGCTCTCTCTGTTCCATATTAATTAGTTTGTACTCATGGAAAATCATTGCCTTAGTTTTACATTGAGTCTTTTATAGAAGTTGTTTTTGAAAGGCCGTGATATGAGGGTCCATGAAAGTTGTGGCTTCTTATCTTCTTTCCTAAGTATAAAAATTTCTTGACATGTTTTTTTTTTTTTTTTTTTTTTTTATATATATATATATATATATATATATAACCATTTTAATTTTTAAATGATGTTAAAGTACATATATTTAGTTTTTTAAAATTTTTTACTTGAAATAAAATATTTTAGTCGTGATAGCCTTTGTTAGATTTTTTAAAAAATTAAAGCATTTGATGTTTAGAGATTATTAATGAAATATAGCAATACATGCTTAGATCTAACTTCTAGTGAGATTTTAACATTTTTTTTTATTTAGTTAAATTTACTTGATTGTGAAAAACTAAGTCAAGCAATTTTTCTTATTGGGAAATGGAACAATTAGCTTTTTGAAATTTGATCTAAGAGCTACATTATAATTATTAAAGGATTCTTAGTGAAGTTTTGGTATCAAACTTATTATTTTTAAAGAAAAAAAAATATGTACAATTATTAAAAAAATTGATCCTTCATGGAAGTCTTTTGTTACATTACAAGATTCCATGTCAAAAAAAACTCCATCAAATTTTATTTCAAGAATTTTAAAAGAAGCTGCAATGCTAAATTATAAAGATTCTAAATAAAGTCCTAAGGTAACAACCAAATCAAGGGCTTTTTTGGTAAGAAGTGAACAAAAAATTAACAATTTAAAAAAAAAAAATTGAATAATTATAAATATAAGAAAAACATATCAACAAATAAACTACATAAAGCATAAGCATAAGGTTCTAATCAAATAAATTCTTAAAAATCATTAATATGACATTATTGTGGTAAATCAAGACATGAACGACCTAGTTGTAGAATTCTTGCATGTGAAAAGGCTCATGGTACATACAAATTTCAAGCCAATATTATTTCAAGTAGAAATTTAAATTTAAATTCAACAAAACCAAATACACTTCATTCATTTATTGTTACTAATAAGGATGAACCTACAAATTTATCTATTTGATATTTGGACATTTAAGCAACATGTTATACGACACCAATTAAGGAGTGATTTACATCATATCAGATTTAAAATCCTCCCTTAATTATATACATGGGAGATAATAAAGTGCACCAAGCCATTGGCAAATGTATCGTGCAAGTTAAATTAAAATATGATAAGATTACAAACATGCAAAAAGTTTTATATTTACTAGCTTTAGCTAAAAAAATTATTGTTTGTATATTTAGCCACTACTCAATGTAAAAGTATTAAGTTCTTTTATATTTTTTGTAATATTAAAATATATTCTAGCAACAAAAAATATTCTTGTAATGAGAAATATTCAAGTCAACAATTTCTATCCATTGGAGATTGAACATCCTAACTTTAAACAATTAAAATCACTAAAAATAAGTAAAATAACTACAAAAAAAACTATTAAATATCATCATTATTTAAGACATGTCAATCAACATGTAATGAAGGACATAAATAAATTTGACATAAATATTCCAATAAATATATCACATCTTTTCTTATGCAAAAGTTATTTAGTTGGAAAACAACATAAAAATTTCTTTTTCAAAGATAAAACTCTCTGTGCTTCAAAACCACTTAAGTTTTTTCACACCAATATACGTAGTCTCATCCAAATTAAATCTATTAAAGGATTTATTTGTTTTTTCATCTGTATTGAAGATTATTTGAGATTCACAGCAATATATGTTTTAAAGCATAAATTTGAGGTATTTCAAACCTTTCAAGCTTATACAAAGAATCATACAAATTATAAAATTAAGACTTCACACTCTAACAATGGTGGAGAATAAATATCAAAAGAATCTAATAATATTTTTGTTCAATATGAAATAATATGTCAATTAACAATTCAATACACCAAAAAAAAAAAAAAAAAAAAAAAAGATGTTAGGAAGCAAAAGAATAGAACCTTACTAAAGTCCACTAGTTGTATATTTCATACATCTAGATTATCCAAATTTTTTTGGGTAGATGCTATAGCCACAGCTTATAATTAAGAAAATAGAATCTTCTCAAATGCATTAGAAGATTCAATGATTCCTTTGATAATATAGTATGGTAATACACCTCATATAAGTCATTTGAAGATCTTTGAGTATATAACATATACACATATTTCTAATGAGCACCAACACAAGCTTAATATAAAAAGTAATAAATGTATTTTTGTTGGCTATGATAAATTACAAGACATAAAAGGTTATCTATTATATGATAGATTATAAGAAAATATCTTGTCAGTCAAAATGATATCTTTGATGAAATTGCCTTACTAAAAGATTTATTTACTCAAAGAAATGAATGAATACAAAATAAAAATAAAATAATAACAAAAGTATTATTGATGCTTTAGCTGAAACACAATTTAAAGTACCTACTACACAAAATATTGTTCTTTTACAACAATCCTCAAACAGTATTTCTATTCTGCTTGAACACCCTTATAATTATTTACAATCAACATTACCTAATGATTTTATGTTTTTTCATGACACTAATTTTTAAAATGTTTAAAGTAAAGATACTAATGTTCAAAGTAAAATATAGCATAAAAAAATATTTTCTAAATTGTTAATTGCCTCTAAAACTCCTTTATTAAATAATGATGATATAATTAATGATGTGGATTCAAGTAATTTGAGATCTTCGTCATCTCTTCTACTAGGAAGGTCTAGAAGATCAACAAAAGAAAAAATACCAAATAAATATTATGATCATATCTAATTTAAAAATCATTTATCTACTTTGGCTAATTTTGATGAACCCTCTACAATTATGGAAGCTTTAAATAGTGAAGATGCTATCAAGTGGAAAGACATATTAGATTTTTAATTAAAAATAATACATAGACTTGGAGGATCTTCCTTTAAGGCACTTTATAGTAAGTAATAAATGGATTTTGAAAAGAAAATATTATGCTACTAGAATAATTATCCATTATAAAATTTGATTGGTTGCTAGAGATTTCTTCACAAAAAAAAAAACAAAAATTAATTATGTGGAGATATTTTTTTGTAATAAAAATACATTCATTATATATTTTATTATCTCTAGCCACAATTTATAATCTACATATTCATTGAATGGACTTTAAGTCCATTTTTCTTTATAATCACTTGAATAAGGAAATTTATATGGCTCAATTTAAAGGATATATTGACCCTCACTTTTTGCATAAAGTTTGTAAGATATATATATATATATATATATATATGTATGTATGTATGTATGTATGTATAGATTAAAAGAAGTTTTACATATGGAGAATCAATTATTTAACTATTATTTTATTAAAAATTATTTTTTAATGGTAGAATAGATTTTAATATATATATATATATATATATATATATATTAAAAGAGAGCTAGTACATCAAAAGTTTGTCATATTGGATAATTCTATTAATATTAATAATAATATATAATTCTTAAATATTACTAAAAGACTTTTAGCAAGTCGCTTTGAAATGACCAACAAAGGATCTATTGAAATTAGAGATGGTTGCTTAGATATGATTGTTGAATGCAATAAAATCAAAAAATCCATTAGTTTATTAAAAATTAATTATATAACTAAAATTCTTACAAGATTTAACATGCATAATTGTAAGCCCATTTCAACCCCTATTAAAGTAGGATTAAGATTAATTAAAGATATAAGTTTGATTGATTCTAAAGATATAGAGAAATGAAAGATGTTCTATATTCAACTACTATATGGTGCTTAATGCATGCCATGACTTATATTAGGCCTGATATTGCTTTTGTTGTTGACCAAGTTGCCAAGTTTATGGCCAATTTAAGTTAAGCTCATTGATTTGTAATAAAATGTATAATGAAATATCTTAAATGTATTTTAAATTATAGAATAATTTATCAAAGTGAACAAAGTTTTAATGATTATCAACATCAAGTTCAAGATTGGACTAATAGTAAGTGGACAAGTAATGAAGACTCTCAAAGAATCACTTCTAATTATGCATTGGCCAATAGAGCTATTTCTTGCCAAAGTTGGCACCAACCTATTATAGCATTATCATATATCCAAGCAAAATACATAGTTTGTGCTTCAACCACCAAAGATACAATTTGGATTAACAATTAATGAAGGACATAGTCCTTAAAAAATGTGCAATTCTATCCAATTGACATAGTCTATCACCAATTCAATGCCTTATCTTTATATTGTGATGATCAATCTACAATTAATTTATCTAAAATTCCATGCCATCATGATCAATCAAAACATATTGATATATAGTATTATTAACTTAGAGAAAAGATTGAACATAAAAATAACAATGTGCAATTCTATCCAACTGAAAAGATGGTTGCTAATGCTTTGACAAAAGTTTTACCAAAACCCAAACATTTAAAATGTCCAGAATTAATGGACATGAAGACAAAAATTAGTAGATTAAGGGGGAATGTTAGAAAGTAACCGTTACATTTACATACTCAGGATCATTTCCTTTCACATTTCTTCAGGTTGTCATCAACCTTTGTGATATACACCTTACGAGAGAGGACGATAAAAGTTGATTGTTGCTGTTCTGCTTTCTTCTTTCTTTCCTATTTAACACCGCGGACGCTCACCGGGATGACGGGGCGAGGAGTGGCAACGCCACACAAACGATCAGCGCGTCGGTGCTAGAAAGGTGCCACTTGGTTATTGTACCTCTTCCGAGAATCGATCCGCCATGAGTTCTCCGCGGTACAACCACTGATACACAACTGCTGTACCTCTAAGCTTGTCTCGAAATTCTCCTCAATTCTCTTTAGAGTTTTCGGTTTTGTTTCGTGCAAGGAGAGCATTCAGTCGTGTGGGTTCGAGTTTGATTTGGTGCCCCGCCCTGTGCTTGCTCACGGCGATGAGTTGAGGATGTTCTGAGTGCTTTGTGATTCTCTGCGAGTCCTCACAACGTTGGGTTGGGGTCATGCGGTGGAGTTTCATTTGATCGTCCTGTTGCAACACCCTTGGGTGGAGTCTCACCTCCGCACGGTTGGAAGTGTGCGGGGGCTGTCCTCAAACTCGTGTCTGTGCAGGATCCGATCGGAGGGAAAGAACGGAGAACAGTCTTGACGAGAAGCTGCGGAGAGTGATGTAGTGGAGATTTCGTCGGTTGTTCACGAAGGACCGTTTTCACACTTTACGCTCTCCGTCCAGCGCCGGCGGCGGTGCGTCACGGGGTGTTGGCGAAGCAACATGTTTGCAAGTAAATAGCATTCCGTCTCTTTTGTAGTGCAATTTGTGGACGTTGCCTCTGGGAAATGATTGGACCGAGTTGCTTGTGGGAGGCTGTATAGTTCGAAGATGCTTGAGTGAGGATATCATTTGTGTATGAAGTCTGTGGCAAACATCACCCTGACACAACAGTGGAATGGAAGGTCGATACAGAATCACAATTTGGAGTGTTCTATCATTTGTACCATTTGTGCGGCATATGTGTCTGTGTAGGTAGCTACCAACTCAGTGACGATTGTGTGAGGCCGTGTCATTCATGGGTGCTGCGTTTCAGATGCCTGGGTTGTAGGTAGAGATTGGCATGCGGATGGGGAGGTGGAGAATTCATGGTTGAAAGAAGCATTGGTCTCACAAGCTTGTAAGTAGAAGAAGGAAAAGACGACATGTGGAGTACATCCCAATCACTAGTGTTGCAGCAGCACGTATGAAGTCCTTAGCAGTAATGAGCTGATACATTGAAGGTTGATAAGTTTTTGAGCATGGCTTGTGATTTGTGGTGTGGACAGATATTGGTGGTTCACAGAAGAGCAACGTGGTAGAAACAATGGCGAAGACAGCTCCGGGATTGGCTCTGTTAGGATCAGGCATATTTGCCTCGAGCCAGTATCTGCCCAAACTTGGAGAATTAAGTGAAGTAATTTCTCTGAGAGTTATATGGAGTCGATCAGAGGTATGTTTATTTCATAAAATGGCAACGTTGTTTATTGAAGTTGGCAAAGTTGTGTTAGTTTTTTCCGAACTCAAAGGCGCGGGAGCTGATGGAAGGGATTCCATAAATGTTTTGTTATTCGTATGTGGTATCAGGATGGTGCAAAGAAGGCGTTGTTGTCTGCTAGGTCATATGCACCCAACGTTGAGGCCAAGTGGGGTCAAGAAGGTTTAGAGGCCATTTTACAAGACAAATCGATTCAGGCTGTCGCTATAGTTTTGCCTGCTCAGCACCAGGTTAGTCTTAATTTGGGTTTTCTTAATGCTGTAATGAGTTTTTTTGCTGTCTTTGTGTACGCTGAATTTGATGCCTGTCAATTTGTATTGACCGAAGTTTTGTCAGGCGCGGTCTACTTATGGCTTGGGAAACACCTGGGTGGTATGCACAAGAAAATAGCATCTCCAGGAATGAAGTGTTTATGGGCATTTCATGAATGAGATTATTGACGTAGATTTGTGATGATCTGAACCTCGCACTTCGCAGCTAGAACTTGTTTTGCGAGCTTTGGAGGCAGGGAAACACGTAATACAAGGTAATCGTGTGTTTTACTGAAATTACTTGAATGCCACGGTTGACAAAGTCGCATTCAGAGATGGAATTGCCTGATCCATGTGGACCAAAATGGCGGCCGCGAGGTCCTGGAAAGTCGAAATTGAGTTGAATTTATGTTCCCTTTCAGTCTCTCACCAATCCAGATAATTGGTGGGAAAAGAAAAACTGGGAAATGTGATAGATCCCTTTGAATGCTTCTTTGTTAGCTACATCCATTAGAAGATCACCAGTTTTTAATTTTTGCGATTGTTGTTTAAGCAAAGTTTTGCAGAAGAATAGGTGGTGTTTCTTGTTTTGGCAAGTGATTTGGTTAGAATTATGTATAATCACGATTTTTTAGAATGCGCTTTAAATTGGCTGAAGATTACATGATTTGTTGACGTGTCTTTTTGTGACTCTGTTTTTGATCCATTTTATTTTACATGGATTATAGAGAAGCCTGTTGGTGCAAGTAAGTTCCTCAAACCCTCCAGCAACACATTTTCTTCGAATGAGACTCTGATACTTTTGTTTAGTCCCCCACGATGTTCATTTGACGACTTTTCTAGGCTATTGTTTGTACTGACATCACCACTTTGATACCAAGCAGTAAAAGTCCTTTTCCCATTCAGAAACAATCAAGTCAAGTTGGCAGATACAAAGATATTCATAGACTTTTGGCGTATCTTTACTCAGGTGTGGCGGACGTTCGTAAGGCTTGGTCGACATATCAAGCTCTTGCAGTAAATGACAAGAAGTTGCCCATCTGGGCGGTGGCCGAAAATTACCGTTTCGAGCCTGCCTTGATACAGGTTTACATCAATACTATGTGAAGCCACCAACTTGCAAAACAGCATTGGTCAATGCTTATCCTAACAATACAACGATGTGATTGTGGAACTCAAGGATTGATAAAATCTGGTGGATGGTGATGGTTCTGTGCGTCTCAGTTGTTGGATAGCGAACTTTATTGCGTGGTGTTTTTTTAAAGCACTGCGATATTTGCATCCCTTCAATAAGTTCACCAGAATTCTTTAGAATGTCTTTTAGAACTTTATTTCTTGTGCTGCAAACTATTTTATCAAGAGTAACATCAATTTGAAACCCTCTTTGATTATGTGGCCATGCTAAATGGAGAAACATTGGATCATCAGACAGGGAAGTTTGCGAAGGAGATAGGTCAAATTATGGGTGTACAGGTGCTGATAGAAGCACCAATAAATAGCTCCAGTCCCTACTTTTCTAGTTCTTGGCGCCGTGATAAAAATTTCAAGGTAGAAAACCTTACTTTTATGCGACAATATTCAGGTGCCCGAGTTCTCAAATGCAACTTTTGGTCATCTCTTATCTATGAAATCGCACACGATGCAAACCTGCTGATTAGCTTGGTATGAGCGCCTTATTGCCTGATGGTACATGAGAGATTCAATATCTGAAGTGTATGGATTGTAATGTACTTGCTTGAGTACTCGTAATGTTCTTAGTGAATATGTGAAATCCAGCATACGGCACTGAAATCTAGAATTGAAGAGAAGCGACCAAATACACTGTAGCCTGTCATTGCAACTTAACATTTTCTTCACCCAAGGTGGATTCATGCTCGATGGAGGTGTTCATTTTATTGCTGGATTGCGAATGGTAAGTGGCAGTTCGATCCTTTCTTCGTTTTCTATTTCTCTCTTTCTGTCCCATTCTAGTAATAATCTTACTAGTGCATTTCACAGCGAGGTGGAATGCAGTTCGTTTTGAGGACTTACATTAATAATCGGTTTAGATGATTTTCTCTCGGCATCTTTGCATCGTTATTATGCGCAACTGAAATGTAGACCAAGTTTGTGTTACTTCAGGACCATCGGACGAGGGAACTCGTTAATTCCATTTGAACTTGTGGCAGAGAATCTGGCGACAAACAGTTCTAAGCATTTCTAAATAGTTTCGGGATAGTGCAGTTTGTGGGCTGTGAGATTGCTTCTGTTTCAGCCACTGTGTCACATTTTGATCAAACACAACCACCTCCTGATAATTTGTCGGCCTCGATGTGAGTTTTGGACCTTTCCCTACTCTTGGTTATGTTCATGTGTTGTTTCTGCCTCAAAAGAAGACACTTTTCTCTGGATTCAGTAGTGATTGTGTGCTCACCATCTAAATTTATGAATTACGTTCATATGATTGTGCTTCAAAATTGGGTGTCATGAAATGCGTGCCTTCAGGAAGAGAACTGACAAACCAATCGAAGTTTCTCAGTACATCTATCGTGTGTGTTAATTGTTCTCCAGACAATTGTGGAATGGAAGTGCTGGAGTTGTCAATATATGCTATTCTGCAACGACAAGAAAGATACAGTTTCTCGCAAGTACACATCATTCAGAGACTTGTCATGTTCTTTGTAGCAATTACGTCTTGATATTGCAGCTTATCTCACATGAACTTGAATTGATACATCTAAAGTTGAGTTTTCATGTTTTTGGGGATTATCCGGCAAGTCTTGTGAAGGTTAATTCCTGGGTTGCATTTGCAGATGATGTGGAGGGTGGTGGGTTCTCTCGGCACAGTAGAGGCGGAACGTGTAGTAAAGAATGGACAGCAGGGTTACAAGGTATACTATATATATATATATGTGTGTGTATGTACGTATATATAACTCATAGCACAGGTATGGAAATCTATGTTTCAACTTCCTTACTCTAATGGTATTCATCTTTTCCCTCTCTTCAAATCACAGGCCACCTGCCAAAATGCAAGTGGAGATATACAAGAGACCTTCAGTCCTTTTGCTGGCGTGTATGAGGAGCTCCAAGCTTTTGCTGAGGATGTGTCAAAATGTGTCGTCCAGGTGGTTTTCACGTCTCTTCTAGATGCTATGATCAGACTGGTTTTTGTACGTTTACCAATTAATATGTGTTGATGGTTAAGATTGAGTAACAACTGTTGGGGTTTTGCCAATGTTGCATCTTCGTGAGATGGATGTGTGAAGATGTACCCCCTGAATTTTCTGAAACGAAGCAGAGGAGCCATATCCACTGCTGGACAAGCTGACATGAAACTTGTGGAAATTGGGTGCAGGGGCTGTCGGGAGAAGAGGCAGACAGGAGAAGCTCAGTTTTGGAAGCCATGCGAGACGTGGCTGTAATCGAGGCCATGCTCAACTCAAGTGACAACAAAGGAACACCAAGTGTTGTAGAACTTGTGCTTGCATGAAGATTCCGAAATTGTCCCTTTTGGTGCTCTTCTGAATTTTAGAAAGTTTTCATTCAAGACCCTGTCGATACCTGCAATTCACGCCAGAAGAGTCGGTAAAACTCAACAAATCTCTTGTTCGGTTTGATCCATAAAACACGGTGCTGCTGCTGCTGCTCATCAGAACCTTTTTTGTTATTATTTTTAATTGAACACCAACGGGGAGATCCAAACGCATTGAATAAGAGAGTAGAAAAAACGAAGGCTTCTTTATATCTTGGGTAGCTAAAGAATTGTCACGTTGTTGAGAGGAACTTTGGTATTCTATCCTATTGTTGCTTCTTCTCTATTTTTATCATGTTGAATAAGCACTAATGTTTTCCATACAAATATTTCCATGCCAGTGGATCTCTCTTCCATTAGGTAAAGAAACATGAATTTGCTGTTCCACAACTGTTTGCTAGATATTCTCACATACCAAATTGAAAGAAGCTATATTGTTTACATTTTTAGAATTCAATTAACACTACTACAAAGGCACATGTGTCTAAGTTAGAATGGCTAAAATGTATAAATAATATTTTATGTTTATTATTTTTCAAAAATAAATAAAGTTGATAATTTGAATATATATATATATATATATATATATATATATATGTCTGAAAAAAATTGAAGTTTAAAATCTATATAATGAATATGTAATAAATGTTTTCATTTAAAAAAATCATCTTGTTGTGAGGATATAATTATAGAAAGTTTTCTAATCATATATATGTTAAAATTGATGGTTTGAAGAAATTTGATTTAATCTACAGCTTTTTTATTTTATTTTTAAATCAACATCTTCTTTTTTTAATAGAAGAAAAATTTATAAGAGTTTCTTCGATTCCAAAAAGAGACAATTTACCTTGAATAATCTCTAATCCTTCCAAACTCTAGCATTCTAGAGTATACATATTTTTTAAGTAACATTTACTGATATTAATTTTAGTCTTAATGTATCATTACAGTATAAAATTAACTTTCAAGATTAATTGGTTTCTTTCTCTTTATAAAAACAACATGCAATAGAATTGTTTTTTGTTTGCATGACTTGCTTGTTTCCAGAGTTGCACACACTCCTATTCTATTTTCAGAGGTAGAAAACATTTTGTGGTTCTTGGAGTGTGGAGGAAGCTGAGATAATGCTGAGTTTTTGTGCACATTGCTGCAATTGTAAACAACTATTGTGCCTCACAAGCTACAACAAGCTCTCATTGCCAACATCAACAATGAAACACATAACATATGGTCTCATATGTGCATATGTGCGACTACTCACCTCTTCATATGCTGTAGCTTGCTTCACAACCAAACAACTGACTGACTCCAGAAAAGGAAGCTAGTTGTCAGAGAATGAAACTGCCTCTGTGCAGGGTGGATATGTCCCACTGCAGGACTGCACAGGCGTCACCATGTACAACCACGATTTACTACAGTTGTCAGTGTATGTCGGTGATTATGATACCTTAAAGCAAGTGCTGTACCCACAAACGCTTAAAAGAGATGTAATCTAGAAAAAAGAATTTCTGATCATTTATGTGTATGTAAATTGATAATATAGAAGATTGCCACCAACAGTACCGACTAAGTTAAAATCAGGGAAGAAATTTAGAACAATTTTATGGAGAAGAGATCAATATGGTAATGAAACTACGATGAAATGACAAGTAATGCCTCCACCAGAGCTACCAACGGACAAAATCACAATCTTTCAACAGTGCCCTTCATTCACCAGCTGATTTAAGAAATGTGGTTAAGCTGGGTTCGTGAACTCCAATTTTCCAGGCGTTTCTGGAAATAGAGTGTTTCCATTGTAGCAGTCATGCAATGCCATTGATGGGAGCCAAAGCCTGCCCATCCTTGTTTATCACAGCACGAAATACTAGAAACCGACGATCGTGCACACAACACGTTGGAGACTAGGCAACCGCTGATGGAACAAGATACTAGCCCCTTGCTGCAATATGGTCTGGAGATTGAGAGAAAACTGGATGAAAACTTGGACCACAGCGTTCTTCATCACTCGGCGAAACTGCACCATCAACGTAAGTAACAGAATCTGAATTTGCCGTCCCAAGGTGTTCACCTTCATTAGACGATATCTTTATTGATGTGATGAGCAGCTCAAACTATAACTGAAGCGCTTGATGCCTGAGTATGCAACCTCTGAACAAGCAGAAGCCTCGTCAATCTCCTTCCAATTACAGGATGACCAGTGCCAAATTCACACACGAACGAAATTACAATAACCGTTGCTCCACCCACGACATTATCAGTTGAAGCCGCTTGAACTCAACCTTGAGGAATATTCCGAGAGTCCAGGAGATGTAAGACTGATGGAAGCGGTGTAGTTAACAAGATCGAACGCAAACCCTTGCACCATCGACACTGGAAAATGGATATATACAGCTCAGAACGAACTGAACGATAAAACTTATGAAAATCCAAACGGTGTGGATGCTCTCAGCATTTTACTGCTTACCCGAGCTAGCTTAACATGCTTTTAAGGCAACAGCTGCCAACAGCTCCCTTTCAAGCAGTTACACCAGCCGATTCTTCAAGTCGGAACAGCTGGTGTTGGGCTTAAAAAATTCTGCAGGTGATGCAAAACTTGTGAAGAGCACCAGCGAGAGGATCTCACCCTTCTGACATAGAACCAAAGCTATGCAGTTGAAGAGTAACGAAGGGTTCCCAATCTGTACAATCTCCCTCCAACTCAGCTCATTGTTGGGCTCAAATGGCCGCAAGAGGCTGTAATAGTAACGAGCTGGCTGCGACCTGGTCTACTGTACCTAGAATTCTCTACGAAGTTTGTTGGGACGCGCCGAGTCCCTAGAAAGGGCCCTCTTGAATGAATTGAAGAAAGTTAATGGTGATGCTCTTGAAGACTCTGCCATGGTTGAGACATGGTTGGCTGGCTCTGCTCTTGAATTCACAGTGTCAGGAGTTCTGGGAACGAATTCTGTGGGAGGGCAAGCTCTTTCTGACTCAGATGACTGGTTCGCCATAATCTGAGCCCTTTTCTTCGCAATAAGCCGCGCCTGGGTCTTGATAAAATTTAGTTGCGCTTTCTCCTCCAAGGCGGGATTGAGTTCAGGTAGATACTTCACAGAATCATGAAAGTTGTAAGCTGTGACCTTGTGGTAGTAAAAGATTCCAGCGTCATAAGCACTTGCAGCCTCCTCCTCGGTGTTGTATGTCCCAAGCCAAACAGTTTTTTTGGCACCTGTTGGTCGGATTTCTGAAGTCCATTTTTTAGCTTTCCATCGGACTCCGGTAAATCTTGATTGGGGCACGTTCTCCATTTGTAATGCACACACTTCAGGAATTGATGACTCCGTCCGGTTGTGAAATTGAGAATGAGAGTGCCATCCATGGCCATGAGACTCTGTAAAACTCCCTGGAATGTTACTGATACCAGCTGGAGTGGGCGTAGTCGGTGCTAATGGACTGCCATGACTAAACGAAGGATATTCAAATGCTAGAGGAGCCGGCCCAGCACTTTCTGGAACCTCATTGATATCTGCTACAACAGGACTCATAATCTGCCCCGCAGGTGGAGTAGGAGTAGAATTCTGTCTTAATGGGTCGAGAACATCTCGAGGCAGACTTTGATCTTTGACCATGCTGTTGTCACGGTTTTCAAATGATAGGTCACTTCCAAATGAATACGAATACTTGTCAAGATCTTCTACAGAAGGTGTAGGCTCACCGTTACAACCCACTATTTCGACTTCAACAACAGGTAAGGTGTAGGGTGTTTCACCGTCATTCGGTAATCCAGAGTCAGGTGCTTTCGACCCTCCAATACTAGATTCTACAATGCATTGAAACCTCCGGGGGAGGTATCTTGCTCGAGACAAATCTCTATGCTTGGCGGGAAACGAGGCTGCTTTCATGCGTTCAGGTTGAGAGGATTGAGCAGGCTGAGGCTGTTGAGCGTGATGTGCAGCTTGATCCCTGATCTTGCAACTTCCTAGCCTCGGCCATGTCCTAATCTTCTGAAGAAATGAGGAAAAACGCCCGTCTCGAGCACGAGACAATCGAGTGGCCTCTGCAGTTGCGGGATAGCAAGTAGGACAGTCCTTATTGCTGCATCTGGACTTCGTTCCCGAAAAAAACTCCCAAAAA